TGGAGAAAATTTGACCAGAGCACGTAGAGACAGAGAAAAGAGAAGGAAAATGCAATAGTATTGGGTGATAGGAAAGAGTAAAGCTGGAACAGAAAATTGAGCAATTAGGACTGTGAGGAAGAGCTTCTTCTTTAAAAAATATTTATTTATTTATTTGCCTATGCGCCTGGCCCATAGGCAGCTCTGAACTTATCTTTTAAAAGTAAGAAGCAATAAAACAATAAACATAAGAAGAAAAACAGATGTAAATGGGAGGGGAAAAAAACCTCAACACAAGAAAAAAAAAGTCAAAAGCTCAACAACTACCCTAACTCCAGACTTGGAATAAAGCCAAGTTTTACTTTTGGAATAGTATAAAAACCATATGGATCTCTGGGAGGATGTTCTTCCTGAGGGCAGGATTTCTGACAGAGAATGTCACCTCCTAAGTCTTGACAGATGACATTGTTTGAAGGGACCTGGAACATACCCACTGCCCAGTCTTGCTGGGTGAGCAGAAATTATTGGATATAAATGCTCCTTCAAATAATCACAAGGGTTTATATGTAACAACAAGCATAGTGATTTGCTCCTAAAAGCAAGTTGGCAACCAGTGCTGCTTGTGAAACAGTGATGACATGGGTATATTGTGGTGCACTTATCATTCTTCAAGACATTCTGTTTTAGTGTTTCAACTGACACATTCTCTGAGTCTGAAAGACAAACAACTACCATTGACCAGGTAGAATCCGGTATTCTGCTGGTACAAGTCTCAGACAATTCTCTAACCTCATTCCAGTGCTTGCCATCTTGCTGAAGACAGCTTTAGCAGTAAACCAGCATCCTATAGAAGACCCTATATCATTATGGACAAATGGCTGTCCCATTTTACCCACCACTTCTGGAGGCAAACTGTTCCACTGATTGTTTTCACTGTCAGCAAATTTCTCCTTAATTCTAGATGGATAAGCTAAATACATAATTTTGCTATGCAATTTATTGCCACAAGTTGTACTAATTATTTCAGTTTGGAAAGCTTTTAAAGATGATTGAAAATACATTCAGTCATAATGTATGATTTAAACCAGGGGTCCCCAACCACCGGTCCGGGGACCGGTACTGGTCCGTGGAACAATTTCTACCGGGCCGCCGGTTTGCTGGGCACCGCCATCTTGTTTTGGTGAAAAAGTGCTTCCGGTGAGCTTTTCCAGGTAGAAAGCGGCGTTTGGGTGCTGAAAGAATCCTCACGCCTTAGTTTCATCGGGAGGTGGTGGCTTCGAACAAAACTAAGGCGCGAGGATTCTTTCAGCACGCATGGCAAGGCAAGCTGAGTGACCGTCCTGAAGCCGTCGCGAAGCCCATCGACACAGGTACAAAGCAGGAGTTGAAGGTGGCGGGGAGAAGCGGGGGATGGCTGGCTGGCCGGTCGCTCGGCTCGCCTTGCCATGCATGCTGATGCTGGTACCGGGCCGCGGATGATTTTGTGATGCTGGTACCGGGCCGTGGCACAAAAAAGGTTGGGGACCACTGATTTAAACAGTTATAAGTTGACTGTATGTATTTATTTAATTTGCATCTTAATAACAGATTTGGAGAACAAGAAAAAGGGCAATATTGCATTTTTTTCCTCCTCACGGGCTTCTTTTGGCATGTGATATCTATATGACAACAAAACACCTCAACAACTAGGCATTTAGTTTATTACTTCTTGTCCTGCCTTCAGGTACTTTGAAGAATAAGTCGACCCATTCTTCTCCGGGAAAGCCCCTCAAGTACTGGAAGGCTACTATCATATCTCCTCTAGTCCATCTCCACCAGTTTTTATGCATGGTATTAAGAAAATGATCTTCATAGTACTAAAATTCTCTTGTCTGCTTGATTGTACCCTTCAATTGGGTGAAATATTGTGTTTCAGCTTCTGCCCCTTGGAAGATCTTGCCTCCAGAGATAAGTAAGATCCACCCTATCTCTTATAGCCTTCAGGAAAAGCCTTAAAACATGGTTATGCCAATAATCATGGATCCTGAAGGAGAAACTGTTGGCTGGTGCACCTAACAGAAAAGATACCCCACCTCTCCCCTCCAAATCATGGTTTTTGGCTTGTTTTAATTTTTGTAATTTTAATCCATTTTTATAGTTGGGTGGCAAATAATTTTGATAAAACAATAAATACATTTTTTAATCAATGTTCCTCAAATGGCTAACTTACAGAATTGATCTAAAATCTGGGACCCATGACTCTTGTGGGATTGAAATTTGGCAAAGTTGTGACCTCATCAGTGTTTCCATGCTGCTATAGCCAGCCAGTAGAAAGTTGGAAGTTGCTCCTGTTCCCGCTGTTTTTTTGCCTTCCTATGGTTCTTCTGTTTTAAGAATATCTCAGAAACAAATGATCAATGGATCATGGGTTGTTTAGCCTTTAATAAAATAAAAACATAAAATTAATGATAAATAATAAAACAGTTCTTCACAAAATACATAATTTTGCTATGCAATTTATTGCCACAAGTGGTAGTTATTTCAGTTTGGAAAGCTTTTAAGGGTGATTAGTTAAATTCATAATAGATGAGATAAAAAGCTATAAGCTGAGTGTACGTATTTATTTAATTTGTCTTAACAACAAACTTGGAGAATAAGAAAAAAGGTGCTATTGCATTTTTTTTTCCTGCTCAAGGGCTTTATTTGGTATGTGATATCTGCATGATAACAGAATAACTGAACAACTAGACATTTAGTCTGGCAGGTCTTTTCTTACGATATTTTAGATATCATAAGTAATGTGATTGCTTGATTATATGTTATTTTAAGCTCTTTATTTATCAGCTACTGAAATAAAAGAACATTTATATGTGTGATATTGGGTTCTTTATTCTACAAGCCCTATCATTAAGACAACGTGATTATAAAAAGAAATTTAGGTAAAAACCATATCCACAATTTTAACTATTATCAATTCTGGAAATAGGAGAGAAACTATCATAAAAATCATGTTTTTATATAGTGTTTTCAGAGGTTGAAATTAACAAAAATAAAGTTTACAATTTGATACAGTTCCTAAGATTTATGAAACCTATTTATAAAATATCAAATATTTGAAAAAAATTACATAAAAAGAACCTTAAGAAATTTAAGGTTTAGTTATTTTTGAGAAAAGAAATATTGTATATAGAGGCCTACATTCTGGATTAAGTCATACAGTAATAGATCTACTGTGCTCTTATTTCTATAAGAAATTGGAAATAAGAATTTTGAATGTTTAGCCTAAATAAGAGAAGACTAAGGGAAGCCTTGATATCATCTTCTGCCTCCTCATCCGTTTGAAAAGGATGGCAAAAGAAAGAGGGTGTGGATTTAGTTTTCATCACCTTGGGGGGAATGACAACTACTAATGGAAACTTTACATAGAGTTATGCAAATTTGAAAGGAGAAATAATTTCTTGACCATGAGAGCTATCGAAGAGACTGCCTCTTTGAGTTCTAAGTGTTTTACCATTTGATATTTTCAAACACAGATTGGACAGCCATTTATCTAGAATAATCTGGAGGGTTTTGTTCTGGGTAGGTGGTTGAACTAGAAATCCCCAAAGTCACTTCTAACGCTATCCTTCAATTTTAAATGAACATCATTAAAATAATATATAAAATAGTTGAACATAAAATGGGATGATTTAAATACATCAGTTTGCCCAGGCATTTAAAACTTTTGTGCAACAAATGTTTGCCTGACTATGCCAAATGTTTGCCAGAAGAATTTTTATAAGTAGAAGTAATATTATGCTTGAGAAAGATTTTTCTTCACCCTGCAGCTCTTGTGCACTAATTAAATGCATATTTTGCATTTCTTTGTCAATTTTAATATGGTTGCCTAAAATCTTTTTCAAGTCCAAAAACAAATCAGTTACCCCAGACCTCAGTATATAAACCTTTATTTTTTATTTAAAATTTTTTCCTGTTTAAAATTAATTTTAGAGATAGGAACAAGAATAGCACTGTCTCAGAAATCTAAAGTTAATTTCAGAGATAGGAACAAGAATAGCACTATCTCAGAAATCTAAAGTTGATTATGAGAAATATAATACAACCTCCATGGCAATTGAAGTATTGTTAGTAACTGTACTAATCATTATGATCATGTTAAATTACAAAAAGAAATATCTGTATTTTGACTGATTTCTATTAAAAGGTATATATTGCATTCAAAATGTAGTTCTGAAAACTGGAATGATACAGAATGAACTGAGCACCTTAACTAGAATCTGATGATTTCCCATATTGAAAAAGTACCTGAGGAGGTAGTTAGAAATCCCAAAATAAGTAGAGAACTTGAGACATGGATGCAGATTTGACACAGGCAATACATCTATGTCTTCAAAATTCAGGTTGAGTCATCTGCTGCCTTTCATGTGATTGTCAAAGGTTGGTGGTGAGACATGCCTTTATTTGGGCAGGTTCTATGAAACAATATAGGAAACTAGCAGATCAGTCAACTGTCTTGTTATTTTTTACATGTTTGCTGCTAAATGACTTATTGAATAGATACAGAATGTTAAGAAGGTACTGCACTAGGACCCGGAAGACCTAGGTTTATAGCTATCCTCAGCTATGCAATCTACTCCACAGGATTACTATATGGGGGAAAAATGATGGTAGAACATTGTGTGCGTGGCCTTGGGCATTTTGAGAAAAGCAAAATATAAGCAAACAAACAAATATAGACACAATAATTTGTTCTTTTCTACTATGTTACTTAGTTTTGGTAAATTTGATAGTACCAAGCAAGCATTTCAGAAGCATTATTTTTCTGAGTTCGTATTGAAGCCTTGTAGCATAGAACCAGTAAATGTTTGTTTCATGGCTAGTGTGAAATTCCAGAATAAGAATGTATTTCTAAGTGTTTCTCATGCATTTTGAGGATTTTCCACCTATATTTTCCTGCCTTATTTTGTACTGACATTTAATTTTGGGGAGCATAACAGTATTAATTTACAGACTTGATTATTTCTCTGCTTTTTCTATTGTAGAAACTCCTGTTGTATTTCCAGACAATATCAAAGAAAAAGAAACTCCAACACCAATTGAAGATATTCCATTGGAAAGCTCTATTCCTCACACTGACTCTGGAATTGAAGAGGAACAAATACCCAGTATTTTAAATGGGACAGATTTAGAAACAAGCCCTGGTCCAGATGCTATGAGTGAATTGCTATCTACTTTGTCATCTGAGGTGAAGAAATCTCAGGAAAGTTTAACGGAGAGTCCCAATGAAATTCTGAAGCCTGCATCTTCAATATCAAGTATTAGCCAAAGCAAAGGTATTAATGTTAAAGAAATTTTGAAAAGTCTGGTAGCAGCACCGGTTGAAATTCCAGAATGTGGACCTGATCCGATTCCTTATCCTGATCCTGCACTGAAAAGAGAAGCTCAGCCTATTCTTCCAATGCAGTTTCATTCTTTTGACAGGTATGTAATACATTCAATCATCTGTCTGTCTGTCTGCCTGCCTGCCTGCCTGCCTACCTACTTAGCTTATTCTTGATAGTTGAACCTTGTTATATTCATACATAAAGCTAACATTTAACTATGGTTTGGTGAGTAAACCAGAAACATTGGAAATATTCTGATGACATTATTTTTGCCAACCAGTTTAGTTCTCATCCTGCTTTACTGACGTATCTCCCTAGAGAATGGTACATCAATGTAGGTCTGGGTGAAAAAGTCACTAGAAATGTTTGCAGCTAAAAATGGTTAATAGCAACTGGTAATGTGAACACAATTATTTTCATATAGTCAGCCCAAAGGACAGTTCATTTTATGTTGTAGTTTACTTGGCTATATATTTGTTAGTTTTAATTTAGTGTTTGTGTTTGGAAATGTGTATGTCCTGAACATAGAGTCTGAATTTCTATATAATTCTGGTGATGAAAAGAAATAAGAAAATAATAAACCACACAAAAGTTTGACTGCATAAAAGGCAAAAGAAGGCAGATATGGGAGTTGTAAAGAGAGTTAGGACACCATTAAGATTATAAACAGATACCAAATAATTGTACAGATGGTATTAGGAAAACTTAAAGCCCAGACAGAAAAACCTAAACTCCATGTTAAAGCTGAGGATATTAAAAAGAGTAAAAAAGGCTCCATGAGACATGTTTGACATATAGAAAGGGGGGGAAATCACACATGCCACATATTCAGGTGAAGAAAAGAAAATGCTAGTGGGAACAAACATTTTTTACTCAAACATGATTTTGACTTAGTATTTTTTGAGAGGAACGTTTCTATCTTCAATTGGAAGAGCAAGATAAAGAGGCAGGAATGAGGTTTAAAATTGGTAAAGTATACTTATTTACTGTGGATGAATTTAAATCTCCACAGCATACCTGCAAAGAAGAATCTGTTAGCACTTTGAAAACAGTGTGATTACTAAAAATTAGAATGGATTTCTTATGCCTTTATATCATACTGTATTCTTACAAAGGTTTTAATTTCCTTAGTAAATCGTATTAGTATTATTGGCAAACATTTGACAAAGTATTTCATAATATTTCAATTATCACTCTAACTAAATGTAGGATTGATGACACTTCTGTTGGTTTCAGTTGACTTGATCAACGCATTCAAAATTGCTCTTCAATAACTCCTCATACAAACACAAGTTTCAAGGAGGTTGTTACAGATTCTGATCAAGAAGACGTATTCTAATTGAATGTTTCCTAACAGTAAGGAAATAACAGAAACAGTTTGACAGGAACTAATTAGAGAAGTGATGGGCTTGCCTTTACTTAATGTGTTGAATTAGCACCTGGAATCATCAATTAGGAATGCTTTAACTTGGATTAATCAAGGGGTTAAAGGTAGTTTTAAAAGGATCCTCCAATTTTGTTATTCTAATTTGTGTTTCACTACTGTTATAGTGTAGGAGAGATAGCTTTTTGTGGGTTATATGCTTTTGTTTGTGGGATATGTGCTTCTAAATGTATTTTTGTGCATATTATGAGTGTTTTCTGTTTGTTTGTTTTTGTACCTTACAGGTGCATAGGTTTATAAGACTACAGTAGGTAGGAAGATACTTCTGGGATAAAAACCTTGGGAATAATTTCAGCAAATTGTGCAATCTTTCCTTTTTTAAAATTCAGTTTTAACATATGTTTGGACTTATATTTGTTTCTAAACTCATGTAGTAATACTTCAAACATTAGAAAAGGTTGTAATTAGTACTGTGTTTCCCATATGATAAGGCCGGGTCTTATTTTTTTTTGAGCCCCGAATAAATGGCTAGGCCGTCTTTTCGGGGGAGACTTAATTCCCCCCCTTGCATCTTCGGGCGGACGGGCAGCGATGGCTTGGATGTTGACCTCGCTGGTGGGGCACTTCATATTGGGGTCAACGCAGGCAGCACCATATCCGGGTGTGCAACAAAAGTACTTCCTAACTGCAAGCCCCCCCACCATTCCCCCCCATTTCACATGTTTTAATATAGGCCTTAATTTGGGGGGAGGGGCTTAATTTCATTTCATGCCTATAAAACATGGTGGGACTTCCTATTGGGGGAGGCCATATTGTTGGAGAAACAGGGTAGGTATAGGCTATTTAAATATAAAAAGACAGAAACATCTTTTAAAAATCTGTTAAGTATCAATGCTCTTAGAAAATGTTTGTTTTAAATATATTTGCAAATCTTTCGTTTTCAATTTTAGTTGTATAACATAATCAATTTAAAGCTATAATATATTACTATTATGAGAATAAGCAATGCTGAGCCTTTTTTGTATGGCTTTGCAAACAAGAAGACATCAGAACTTCAACAAATCAAGATCAAACTTTGGTGCTAAATACTGTACAATAAACTGTAAAATAAACATAATATGTCAGTTTTTATGTAACAGGAAACTGTAGTTTATTTGTGACAGGAGACAGATTGTTTAAATCCCTTCCTGAAATACAAAGGAGAAAACAGACATAGTATAAGCACTACCATATATGGGTTTCAAAAACTGGATAGTCACTTGATGATAGCAAAGAGATATGAAATCTTAACTTTACTGCCATTTAATCCAGATATTTAGGTGCAGATACAGTAGTTGCAAGTCAAAGGCTTGCTGCAGTACTTTCTTAGAATGCGACATGACAAGAATTATAAATCTGAATTGGTCCAAGATTATAATATATATTATTTTCTTAATAGTTGAATAGAATAAAAATTGTATTTTGCATAACTATTAATTCAACCTGTAACTGACTGTCAGGGTATGCTTGTGCAATTCTTTGTACTATTGCCATATTTATTCAAAATATTTCTATTACCATTTTAAAAGATAAATATTTGTAGGGTTCTACTTTTTATAAATATCTATTCTAGTGGATGCCATTTTTCATAAATGTTTTTATAAGATTTTCTAAAGTAGCCAAAGATTATTCAAGATTTTCTGGGGAATCTTAAAATCCATTTAAAAAACATTTAAATGCCCAGGTTCACATAGAAAGTAAATACTTATTATGTATTTATTCATTACAAATAAAACAAAGACTGAGTGATATAATTCTACAAAAACTGTTTTCTAAAACATATTAAAATTATTTTTAAAACACAGAATTTCAAATGAAATGTATATATCTATATATAGTGTTTAATATATATAGTGTATATATATTATACTCATGAAATAGATCTTCTCTGTTAATGTATTCAGCAGTTCAAGTACTATCGAATGTAAATGATGAGGTGATATTGATGAAAGGAGGGATTGAGGTCTCGGGGGGCGCTGATGACGGATTGAACAGAAGTGCCCTTGCACTGCACGTAACTCAAGTCTGTCGTCTTCACTACTCAAAGCCATAATGGAAGGTGGCAGTCTGAAATGAGTTGCCACGGCAAAGAGTATTATTTTTGAAATGCTTTCACACAAATCACTAGGCCCTGCATACAACTTAGTTTCATGCTTTAATGTCATCAGGAGGCACAAATTGGTGTGTCTAATTGTTTGCCACCTGCCAGCAAAATGAGCTGCCAGCTAGCCAGACGGGTTTGATTGTCCGTCAGCTTTTCAATAGATTGAGAGTGACAACATCAAAAATTTCACTTCAAACTCTGAAGCTTTGAGCAGCTTTTCAGAGACCTCTTCCCCACAAGTGCTTCTGGACAACTGCATTTTTCAATCAGTTTCAATATATCCCTGCCTTCTGTCTCATCTGTCCTAAGGTGTAGCTGTAATTATATCAAAAACTATATAAACAGATTTCTTTGTCCCTAGATTCTTGACTCAAAGTTATGATTCCAATATCACGTGGAAAAAAAATAGGTAGTGGCATTTACAACAGCACAAGCAACTGATTATTTGCTAGTGGCTATGATAATTTTAGAGTGAAAGTGACACGTTTTCATTTATACTTTTTATGTGTCAGATATTTCGCTGTGTATGGAAATACATGCAAAGACATTTATAGATTAAATATTTTCATTTATTTAAAGCAATTCTTATTTACAAATGTATCTTTAGTACATTAATAGGTTGACTATAAAACCCTGTGAGATTTAAAATCTTTATTAAAAAGCAAGAATTCTAGTAAATTGTTTAATATTAGCTGTCCTAAAAAAAGTAGAACTGCAATATGTAAAAGCAAGCTAAATTCACAAAATAAAAGCATAGACGCCAAATTTTGTTTTTAAAATTATCCTTTCTCCCTGCTCCTAACCACCTTTTAAAACTCTCCTGAATTTAGTAAAATAGATTGGTCGTTTACTCTGTCCAAAGAAACAATCAGAAAAAAGATTGACCTGGGGTTTCTTTTATGTAACTGTTGCCTCAAATCTCAAACTCTAGGGTATTTTAGCAGAAGAAAAGATTCAGAAGTTGTCCATGGTGAATATACTAGCTTTTAGATGAAATAAATGTTAGGACAGATTTTTTGCTTTTTGTTTATTGTTTTTTGTTTTAGTATTTAAGTTCTATAATTTGATATTTGTTGATTGAAATGTGCACTCCCATTTTAAACCAGAGCTTGATATTCTGTAAATTTCATGCTACTAACATTATTTTAAATTTACAAGCATTGGGGATATTCTAGTTAAATGACATGTTATTCTGCTTTAGTTTCAGTTACTATTTGTGTGGGACCCATTCACGGTATTTTTCTACTATCAGCCATTGACCTTCTCTTTGCTGTTAACTGTACCTTTTTACTTCATGATACCAATAATATAATTTTATTTCTTTGTGCTCCATTGGGATATGTCGGTGTATAATAGGCACCATTTTGTTTGTTTGAAGAATGTGTTAGCAATGAAAAAAATCATTGAATAGGCAAAAACTGTTAAGTCTTCCACCTGCTTTTCCTCCATTTCCTAGATCATATAGTACAACTAGGTTTTCTTATTGTTTCCAACTTCAGCTTTCTAATCTCCAATCAAAAGCAACATATCTTGCTAGCTTTTCTCTTGATTTCAGACTGCACTTGATCATAAAACTCATTAATCTTGTCTTCTTCTACATGAGTGGTTAGAGCACAAAATTGGATAAACATGATATTAAGCAGTTGTCCATTAAATTAAATTGATATTATTCAGTCATTGACTACTTCATACCCAAGTAGCATCTTTGGTCTGAGCTTTCAAGCAATACTGTTCATTATTTATTTATTTTTTCATTTCAATTTGATTATTCCCAGGATGCCAGTGTATAGTCACTTCATTTTTCTCTACCTGGAGGTTTCCCATGTTTATGTTTCTTATATTCCATGTTCCTTCTATAATTGTGTTTTTACAGTGTTGGATTTCCTTTTCTTTCATAGCAATATTAGCAAGTAAACATCTGGAAGGCTAATATGCTGGCTATATCAATAAACCCCATTAGTACTCAGCTATTCCTTATAACCATCTTTAGTGCCATCTGATTAAGAGGCTTATCACCAGGCACTATAGAGTCAATACTTAATCTTGCCTATCAGTTTAGTTTTGGGGGAATAAAATAACAGAAGTACTTTTCCTTTGCCTTGTACTATATGTCCCCTCCGTTATCTCTAAAGTGATCATCTGCCTCCAGCATTTTCCTGGAAGGATGAGTTTCATATCTTGGAAAATATTGCCAGGAGTATATACTCCTGGCATACTTATCTGGTATCCTTGCTTATTCTTCCTGGGGAGATTCCTTATCCCACCCGATAATGCACCTATAACAGGATTTGATGGGGTGTTCTTTTATGTTTCTCTATTCTTTCTGGAATTCTCTCATTAATTGCATGTCTCAAACTCTGCCTTTCAGTCCTTTAGCCCACAAAACCTTTAGCTTAACAATTTAGTTCTGTACTTTGCTTAAGTTATCTACTGAATTTTATCTTTGTTAAATCTTACTCTATCAAATTATACTGTAATTACTTCTCATGATAAACCTTTCTGTATCTATTTACTACACATAAGGCATAAGGTTCATATTAAAGATATTATGAAGATAGTATCTTCATATTAAAGATATTAAAGATACTATATTATATAAAGATATAATGCTTATGGTACTGCTGAAATGAATAATTTTGATTTACTGATTTTATATAAATGTATTATTGTAATATTTAGATATATGAGTAACAATTCCATAAGCAGAAGTAATAACATAAAAAGGCTACCAGATTGGAGATGCAAAAATAAGGACTATTCCTAAATAACAGCATTAAGAGCTTTTTCATTCTTTTTTTCCTGGCTTTTAGTGGTCATCTGGATTTTTTACAGTCCTAATCAGGTAGCCCTAAATCAAATTACTGTTGAGATAATTTCAGAGTTAAAGTTACATTGTCATATTACCTGAAAATATCAGTAACGTTGTATCATTTTAATGGATATGAGTTAAACGATGAAATGTGACTAATTTCAGAAATGACTAAAAATGCTGTTCATTCACTATATTTATATTGTTTATAGTACGCATATTATCTTTCTCTGTATAAATATCTTCTGAGGATACTTTTAATATTCATATTTTAAATGCTTTAAATTATACCTTAAACTCATATATCCTTTTATTTAATTTTTTGTCCCTGTTTTCTTCCTTTTCAACTTTATACATACCTTGTATGTTTTTTTAAAATTTGTGATAATAATAAATTGATTTCTTCTTCCAGTGTATGGATAGGAAAGAAGAAAAGCATTTTCCCCCTGATTTTGCATTGATTTTCTTCCCTCTGTAGAAGTGTTGTAGTTCCAGTGAAAAAACCTCCCCCTGGAAGTCTAGCAGTCACCACAGTTGGAACTACCACAGCTGGAAGTGGACTACCACCAAGCAGTACGCCAAATATATTTGCTGCCACAGGAGCTACCCCAAAAAGTATGATAAATACAACAGGTATTATCTTTAGATATTTTTGTGAATTTTGACTTCTTTCAGCTTTTTTTTTATTTTTTTGCATTTTGGTAAATACCTTTAAGCATTCTCACTTCCTAATGTTAAATTGAAAAGATCTCCAGAACGTTTATCTTCTAAATCAAGCAATTCAGTTAGTGGTTGGAATTATTGAAGGATATCAACATTATAAGCTCAATCTGCTATGTGAAAATGCCCCTAATGTACCTCAGCAGTCCTTCATTTTTTGTATTTATTTAAAAAATTAGTTTATAGAAATGTCCACCTGACTAGATATTAATTTAAAATATTTTGGAAGAAATATTTAAAATGTTTTATGAAAAATTCCCTAGTGGAAATTATTATTGAAATGACCATATTCTTTAAAAAAAACCTGTACAACATGGTCAAATGCTTAATAATACGATAACATCAAGGATACTGCTCATAGATTTCATTATAGCTGTAGTTTATTGCTTTCTATATGCTGGTTGTATTAGTGTAAATGGTATCACAAAATATTTTTGTTTTCATTTCTTTTACTGTATACGCCACTAACATATGCCAACGTCTGCTTATAGTAATTTGGAACATGTTTCTCAGAACATGCCATTTATAATATTTCTTTGGATTTTTAATGAGATATACTCAGAATAGTGACTAATTTACTATAGCTTATAAATGTCAGCTTATTGGTTTATGGAGATCAGATATTTCCACGTGTTCATTTTTATTTCTATTAACACTAGATAATACTGGAACTGCTTATTACTGTTTTCATGTGGTAATTTTTAAGAAGATAATGTCTTAGACTTTTATAATTACTGTTTGTTTAAATCATCATAATGGGTTTGACATTTTGTTCAGAAGGGATATATGTGTTTGTATCTCTATGAAATATATTTGTGAATATAGTTAGAACACTTTTTAAACAGTTGGATTGTAAATTAGATATGGACAAGAAATTCTAGATGATTTTCTCCTATAATTTAAATAATTTGGTCTCAGGGTTCTTTTCATACATAATCATGAGAGTATTGGAAAAAAAATATCTGTACTATAGCATATTGGAGTATAGTTAACAAAGAAGAATGAATGGTTTTAACTTAATTTTGGAGTATCCTCTGACTGAATAAATTATTTTAATTTATTTAATTTTGTTTTTAATTATTAGTTGCCAGCTCTTTGTAACCGAGTTAATAGCACTCCAGAGTTATGATGCATAGAAAATAGATGCATTATGAATTACTGTGAAGTTGTTGCATTGCTTTTCAGACAATATATTCTATTTTGGTCAATAGGTGCAGTAGATTCAGGATCTTCATCATCATCGTCATCATCTAGCTTTGTGAATGGTGCTACTAGTAAGAATCTCCCTGCTGTTCAAACTGTTGCACCAATGCCAGAGGATACAGCTGAAAACATGAGGTATACTTTATAGTATTAATCTGGAGGTAAATATATATATATAAAAGAAAGGCATAGAACTTGCTAGCAACAAAAATCTTTGTTAAGACCTCTAGGTTTTTGAAATAAAATGTACTTCCTTGGGAACACACTGAAGTACAAACATGGACTATATCCATGTTACATGTAACCATGTAACCATAATTAATATAATATTAATAAGCTTATTTTTGCTTCAGTATTTTCTCATATAGAAAACATGTAAATATATAAATATAAATATAAGAATACCCTGCTAGTCTTTAAATCTGATTACCTCAGCTATTTTTTAATCATAGTTTTTTTATATTTTTATGTTATCTTTTAAAAATTGTTCTATTATTTTTTGTTCTTTTTTAAACATTTGTTTTAATTGTTTGTAAGCCACCTACAAGTCATAGTTTTGAAATGAATGGTTATACATATGTAAAAAAATAAATAAATGCAATTTTTTAAATAAAAAACATACTCTAGAAGAGATTTTATTTTATTTTAGATAAGATTCACACATTTCCTGAAGAAAAATAATTTCAAATATTACTATCCACCTAAAACCTTTTACAATCAAGTTTTAAGTTCCTGAAATATAAATTCAAAATTATAAAAATGGATTGAATTACAGTAGCAGTAACCTAATTGTTACAATGATATAGAAGTAAGAAAAAACACTACGTTTTGCAGTACCAAGGAAGCGTTCATCAAACTAATCTGGCCATGAATTCTCTCTTGATGATTCCAGTTTGGCAATTTTTTTAACACTGAATCACTAATTATACATTAGATAGTTCTTTAAAATTAAAGAAATTGATCCAATTTTAATTTTAAATGAGTTTAAAAGATATAGCTTTTATTTATGTTTTGCTTTCTCACAATCTGAAAACATTTCCCCCTCTGGTTGTTTTTATGGCTATATTTCAGAAACAGAACATGGGAGGATGGTAAAAGTTAGATTATAACAAAAATATGGATTGAAGAAGAGTACTGGGATTTTCTGCATTAAAATAGACTGGATAAATATTTTCATAGAAAATTGTTTAATATTAGGAATAATGTCTTGATTTATAGGAGATTGAGCTAAGATCAATAACCATATTTTTACTTTTAATTGTGGGATTTGGTGCATAAATAATGGAGATTTTTTCTCAGGAAGTAAATTGTATCTATATTGAGATATTTAGATCTTTATAACCAGATTGCAAAGAGATGGAATTTGTTCTCCATCTTAATTTGGATAAAGTGAGAAAGTTGATTGTCATTTTTTTCACTAAGATATAATATTAAAATTAAACCTTTGCTTGTTTCTTGCTGTTTTGAGTGTTGTTGTAAAAGGGCAGCTATTATTTATTTAAATTTCAGCTTTGCCAAGAGTATGAGTGGATTGCATATCCAAGTTTATTGTTTCTTGATGCCCTTTAAAACAGGCCTCCAAAAGTTGTGGATACTCCATCACTGGAATTTTGAAGAAGAGATTATATAGTCCTTCATTTGGAATAGTATAAGATCATCTGCTTGAACAGGAAGTTGGATTAGAAGGCATAACATTCCTTCCAACTTCTAACTTCTAATACCTCATCTTCATGACTAGGTTTTTCAGTTATTCATAAGGTGCCTTTACTAACTTTTGTTTTGGAATTTTATAACTACACTGCTCAAAAAAAATAAAGGGGACACAAAAATAAGACATCCTAGATCTGAATGAATTAAATATTCTTATTAAATACTTTGTTCATTACATAGTTGAATGTGCTGACAACAAAATCCCACAAAAATTATCAATGGAAATCAAATTGGAGGTCTGGATTAGGAGTTACGCTCAAAATTAAAGTGGAAAAAAACACTACAGGCTGATCCAACTTTGATGTAATGTCCTTAAAACAAGCCAAAATGAGGCTCAGTAGTGTGTGTGGCTTCCACGTGCCTGTATGACCTCCCTACAATGCCTGGGCATGCTCCTGATAAGGTGGCGGATGGTCTCCTGAGGGATCTTTTCCCACACCTGGTCTAAAGCACCCCCCAACTCCTGGACAGTCTGTGGTGCAACATGGCGTTGGTGGATGGAGCGAGACATGATGTCCCAGATGTGCACAATTGGATTCAGGTCTGGGGAACGGGCAGGCCAGTCCATAGCATCAATGCCTTCGTCTTGCAGGAACTGCTGACACACTCCAGCCACATGAGGTCTAGCATTGTCATGCATTAGGAGGAACCCAGGGCCAACCGCACCAGCATATGGTCTCACAAGGGGTCTGAGGATCTCATCTCGGTACCTAATGGCAGTCAGGCTACCTCTGACGAGCACATGGAGGGCTGTGTGGCCCCCTAAAGAAATGCCACCCCACACCATTACTGACACACTGCCAAACCGGTCATGCTGGAGGATGTTGCAGGCAGCAGAATGTTCTCCACGGCATCCCCAGACCCTGTCACGTCTGTCACATGTGGTCAGTGTGAACCTGCGTTCATCTGTGAAGAGCGCAGAGTGCCAGTGGCAAATTTGCCAATCTTGGTGTTCTCTGGCAAATGCCAAACGTCCTGCACAGTGTTGGGCTGTAATCACACAACCTGTGGACGTCGGGCCCTCATACCACACTCATGGAGTCTGTTTCTGACCATTTGAGCAGCCACATGCACATTTGTGGCCCGCAGGAGGTCATTTTGCAGGGCTGTGGCAGTGCTCCTCCTGTCCTTCCTTGCACAAAGGCAGAGGTAGCGGTCCTGATGCTCGGTTGTTGCCCTCCTACGGCCTCCTCCACGTCTCCTGATGTACTGACTTGTCTCCTAGCAGCACCTCCATGCTCTGGACACTACGCTGACAGACACAGCAAACCTTCTTGCCACAGCTCACATTGATGTGCCATCCTGGATGAGCTGCATTACCTGAGCCATTTGTATGGGTTGTAGACTCCGTCTCATGCTACCACTAGAGTGAAAGCACTACCAGCATTCAAAAGTGACCAAACCATCATCCAGAAAGCATAGGACCTGAGAAGTGGTCTGTGGTCACCATCTGCAGAACCACTCCTTTACTAGGGATGTCTTGCTAACTGCCTATGCTTTTCACCTGTTGTCTATTCCATTTGCACAACAGCATGTGAAATTGTTCATCAATCAGTGTTGCTACCTAAGTGGACAGTTTGATTTCACAGAAGTGTGATTGACTTGGAGTTATATTGTGTTGTTTAAGTGTTCCCTTTATTTTTTTGAGCAGTGTATATTTACACTAACATTACAAAAGGAATCTTTACATGGAATCTTCCATGATTCACAGCATGGCATATTTCTGCTTTGAAAAAGGACCATTGAATTCAGTGTAAAATTTAGTCTTGGAATTTTCTTTGTAGTTGCCAGTGTTTCAGAAGCTGGATTTTATATGAAGTATTATTTTTCATAAAACGACTTCTGTTTTCTTGCAATTTCTACAGAACAGCTATACATAGCTTAAACAGTAAAATAAAAAAATATATACTAACTTTCTACTACTAAAAGCTTTTTCCATGACTCCAGAGATAATTTAAATCTGTTGAGCAATATACTCTGGGTAGAAAACCATTTCTCTACAAGAAGAATTTTAGGGAAAAACTTCAATTTTTAATGTTACATTTATATTAAGAACATACATAACCTTTTAAAATATCTGCTGTGGGATGTCAGGAGTCAGCATAATCCTTTCTACTCTCCTTCACGGTTGCCTTGTGGCACTTGCTAAAATGACAGAATGATTTTGTGGGAGCATTACTAGGAAATAAATGCCATAAGAAGAAAATCAAATACTTGTAATGGCCGGTGTTATAAATGTGCTTTTGACCTATATTACACTGATCATTATCACCTTTTGATTATTGGAACTATCTCCCTGAAAGGCAAAGGGAGAGTTCTAATAATTAAAAAGAGTGGAGGTTTTTCTCTGTTCTCTCTGTTGAGTTGCTAATATATTTTCTAGCTTTCGAGAATAGCATTTTATTGAGGAAAATAATGGGAAAAGAAATGGTTGGTTGAATTGTTTTAAACAAAATCCAGCTTGTAAATAGTTTGGAACAGTGCTCCTGTATGGCTGCATACTGTAGTATCACAAGGCTTTTGGATGAGATTAAACAACAGAAAATGACCTTAAAAGAGGAAATAAGAAATCAGTGTTTTCTCTGCTTCCTTGGAAATGCAGTAGAGAGACAACTTGAATGTCTCTTTTACCACCTAGATGGCTTGGATTAAAGATGATTTAACAATTCATTTAATTCTATAATTTACTATTGAAAGAAATAAGCCAAATGTGCTATAATCCCTTCCCTTTCCCCAGTTGTGTTTTAAACCTCTGTATTATTAGTTAGTAGTGGTTTTAATTGCTTTAACTATTTAGAATTCAAACTGGTGTCTGGGTATGATATGTATATAAATCTGTACGAAAACAGCAGAGACTTGAGGCATCAAAAAGATAACTAATGAATTATATCATAAACATTCTTGGATTACAATTTGCTTAATCCAAATATTTTGATATATTTATACCAATGTAATTTTTTTCTACTGGTAATCTAATATGTCAGGGTTTCTCAAGCTGACAACTAGCTTGTCAAGCACAGCAAGAAAGAAATCCTGGAGCTTAGTCTAGAGAGGCTCAGGTTGTGTGAGTGCTGGAATAGGTAAATGTGTACCTTAGGAAATTCAACTCTGGGCTCCCGGAACAAAATAGAATTTTTTTTTCTGACCTCCCAGACCCAGCTTCTTACTGCCCAGACAAGCCCAGATTCATTATACCACACTTGATCAGTTCTGGGCCCATAGAGTCTCCCCTAGTTAGGCAGGTGTGTGATTAGGCCTAGAGTTGTTGTGGTTCGCCAGCAGCAGGTACGGATGGCTGAGGTCTCAGAGAGCGAGGACTCAGATGAGGGGCCTGCGTGTGATGAAGGGATGGGGCCAGGACCATCAGGGAGTGGAATGCTGCTTTTGGAGATTGTGGAGGCTGGCAGCAGTGATGAAGAGGTCCCCGAGGAGCCTGTGCCCAGTGTGCGTGCACACAGGGCTACTCGAAGGAAAGAACAGCTGCAGCAGCATGAGCGACTCGGGAGTAAGGCTGCAAGGTAATGGCCTCTCTCTTAAGAGATAAAAGCCAGCTGAGAAACTGGAGTTCTTTGCAGGAAGCAAATAAGTTTTTGCACTCAAGTCTTGTGGACGTTCAAAATATTTTGGTTGGTGTTTGGAGACTCTTTGTGTTTGAAATATTTCTTAGTAACTTTATCTAGTGCTCTTGGCAGCCTTGCACAACCTTGGCAAGGCTTGTTCTTATCAGAGACAATTAGTTTGAAACAGCCTTTTAACCATGAAGGAATGGAATTCGTAAAGAATCATTAAAAGGTTTTTCTGTTACCTCTGTTTCGTGCTTATTTCCTTGGAACAAGGTTTAGGTCAGAACAAGTGTATGCCAACAGATTTATAGAATGATTTCTAAACTAAGCATTTGTTGATTCCTTTGTTTGTACAGTCAATAAATTTGTGAGTCTTACAATTCAGAAAATAGGTTACAATTAAATAATAATAATAAAAGCAGTAAAACCTGTAAAAAAATTAAAAACATTCAATTCAACCTACACAACAACAGGATATTTGGCCAGTAAGCAATATAGGCAAGAAACAGGCTCTTAACACATTCAGCCCCTCTCCCCCAGCTTGGGAGCATACCCAGGTTTTTAGATCCTTACGAAAGGCTAATAGGCCTTGAGGCTATTCTGAACTATGACAGGAGAATGTTCCATAAATTAGAGCCTGCTGCAGAAAAAGTTTGCCTTCAGGTCCACACCAGCCAATACCCTTTGGCTGACAGGATTTGTAACATGCTGATTCTGCTTAGCCTGGATTGGGTAGAGATTCTTGGAAAAAGTGATCCCTGGTTCCAAGCCATGTAGGGATTTAAAGGTAACCACCAACACCTTGAATTGCACTAGAAACACACTGATAACCAATGTAGGTCATGCAGGAGGACATGGTAGGGTTTTTTTTTTTTTGAACTAAATCCAATAGGGCATGATGGGCACCATATTTAGAAGGACAAATGGTAGAAGCACAGTGATTGCTGAAAGTTTGTCACTCAGATTGCTGTGTGGGAATGATCAACACACTGAGAATCTACAGTTTATTCATTCTACTAGTCCAGCCTTCTGCTACTCATAGTGCCTTACTTGTTTAGGAACTGAGTGTTACTTATTTTAAATAATCATCAGTCAAGATCGCTTTCTGAGCCTTCATAATGGTCAACGTGAATTTGCTAAGCTGACTGGGAATGAAGGACAGCTAACTGGGCACCTTTTGACAGTATTTCAAGATTTAAAGAGGTATATTGCATGGGAACAGGCAGCATCCTCATGATAAATTTTGTGACACGAATAGGAAACAAGAGATAAATGTGACCACATCTGGATGCCAAAGGCTTCTCTTTTGGGTGCTGAGAGGAAGGAGATGGTGATACTACTGGCCCTAAGAATTTAGTGAGGAAAACAGAAATGGGGAGAGGCAAGACAATACAACTGCCCTGCTTCAGATTGCAACGGAAGTTCCAGACCAACAGTCTCAGCCACATTGCCAATACTGCCAGGGACAAAGAACTTGTGATTCAGGGATGTGTGTCACAGTTGTGCCCTTTACCTGAAGATCCTCAGACTAGGTCCTTTCCTTAACAATTTAAATTGACAGGTCCTATACTAGCAATTCCTTAGTCCCATAATAAAACTAGCCTTATTTTAACCCTGTTCTTTAAACTTAGACTAGACTGTTGAAACTAAAGCCAGGTAATAAGAATGTAACCTTGTAATTGGTAGCCCACAGTCTCCATTTAGACAAACTATTGAATTCAGCAACTAGTTGTCCACATTACAAAGGTACTGGAAACTGTTTCATAGCTAAGGCTTGTGTACTTAATAATGGTCTGATCAGAGATGCATATTATTTGGACTACTGTAATTTGTTTATAACTCATTCAGAAAGCTGTGATCAGACTATTTACTAGGTTCAATTATAAGGAGCACATACTCCAACAACAGAATAGCTTCTCTCCCTATTTTCTATTTATAGCATAGATTTTGGGCAGTAAAGTCTTTGGGTTATATTTTAGAGCCAGGTGATTTGAAATATAATAATTGTTGTTAAACATTTATGTACTTCATTAGAAATACATTTATACACATGAGAGAAAGAGCCTTTACAGTCACTATAACAAGGAACTTTTCCAGGCCAATAAAACCAAATTCTCTGTGTTGAAATTCTCTCTTTTTCCCCCAAGCAGGAATAATTTGTTTAGGCAGATCTTTTATAGAAAAGCTATATTAGCTGTGAAATTAGTTTTTAAGTAAGCAAATATGATTTATTCTGATGCTGTTCTTAAGGATGTGCCCTATGTTTTAAGTTTATCAGTTTCTTTAGTTCCTTGATACCTTTTGGAAGCTAAGAATAATATTTTGTATAGATAATATGATACAGGACATTTAGAGATCAAAATACACTTGTGGGCACTACTAATTTAAAACTGTATGCAACAATTTCTAGAGTTGTTTGAAAGTTTAAACGAGGTTTCTACATTGATTTAAACAGATCTGAACAATTTCATAGACATACAGTAGTTGATTGCTCTAAATTTGCAGATTGTATAACTCTACAACAGCAATATAGTAGAAGAAAATGGAAATAAAAATGAGTATAGTAGTTGCCTTGTTTCATTGCTCCAGTGGGAATACTCCACTGGATGCTAATTCACTAAAGCCCTCATGTTCATGAACAGTTGACTCTGAATCTAACTTATTCTACCAGGGTTTTTTTTTTGGGGGGGGGGGGGAGATTTTAGACATAAGCACATGATATGTCTAATACTGTACGGCAGGTATGTGTATCCCTCTGTGTTGATATCAACTTTAAACCTAGCTGAATTTTGATTAATGCTTCTGTCATTATAATATGTAACAACGAATGTTCTATGAAAATATAAACTGCATTATTAAACTGCATTATTAATCTGCTATAGGTTCAGAAGTATGTAATTATTACAGACTAACCAGCTTCCATCCTGTAGTAACCTGCTATAAATAAATTTGTTTTAAAGGTAGATAGTTAGAAGATTTCCAAATGTAGTCAAGGCAGACAAACATTAATACTTGAATGGGAGGCTACAGGAAATCCCAGAGTTACAAGTAGCCTTCAGTTTATGGCCATTTAGTCAGCAACCATTCATTTCGACGTCACTGAACAAATAGCACTTATGACTGGTCCTAAAAGTTCCAGCCATTGTAGCACCCTTGCAGCCATGTGATTGTGATTTGTGTGCTTGGTAACCAGCTGCATATATCTGCAGCATCCTAGTGTCATGTGATTGCCGTTTGCTTAATTCTCTGGCAGCTTCCTACAAACAAAATCACTACAAGAGCTGACGCTGTAGGTCTCAAGCACTTTGTAGCCCACACCCATAGCAATCCCTGGCATATCTGCATTCTTTAGTGCCCGCTTGCAGTCCCTGCCTACTCACTCACACTTTCTAACACTCACCGACAGCCCCTGTTATCACTCCCTCCCTAGCATCCACCTGTTGTAGCCGGCGGCTAGTGGAGCTGGTAGCAGAGTCAGACAGTGAAGAGATTGGGGAGGAGCATTGACAAGTCCTGGAGCTGAGGAAGGCTCGGACGAGGGCTCTGCATCAGAGGCAGAGATGGGGCCAGTGCAGTCTGGCAGTTACCAGCTGCCTTCGGAGTTGGACAGTAGTGAGGTGGAGGAGCAGCTGGACCCAGTTCCCAGCCTGCCCATGGGCAGAGCTGCCAAAAGAAAAGAACAATTATGAACTAAGGGTCAACGTAGGAGTAAAGCCACAGGTGGATGGTGAATGGCCCCTCTCATAGGGATTAAAAGAGGAGCAAAAGGGGAGGGGGCTTTTGCAGGAAACAATTCGTTTATTGCAGCAGTGTGAAGATCTCTCTGTGCATCTCAGAGACTTTGTGCAAAGTCCTTCCCTGTCAGCACTGCATTTGAAAATATTTACTTGGCAGCTCTCCAAGCTAGATAAGGTCTGTGCTCCTAATTACACCCTTGAAAGACTGTTTGCCAGGCCTTTGGCTAAATGTGAATACAAGAAATTCACCTTCGTTTCATAAAAGGGGTTTTGCCTGGACAAAGAGTCTGCTTGGTGCTTTCTGAGGAAGCCTAGGTCAGAACACTACCAAGCCCTCAATAGTTTGTCTATATACTCCTCTCTCCTTGCAGCACCCCACGTATTTCCCTTCACTCCTTACCTAGGACTCCTGCATCTTCCCACATAATGACTTGCATAGTCCTGGGGTCAATACAGCAACTGGGACTGTTGGAATTGCCATTGCTAAGCGATGTGGTCAGAAAACATCACACTTTGTGACAGAAATTCCAATCCCAATTGCCATTCTAACCCAAGGACTAAATAGGAACTATGCAGTGAAAAACCCAGAATGTGCCAAAAAACCCTATCTCCATGAAATCACCAAGAGTCAAAATCAATTTAAAGTAGACTTTACACCTTCGTATTATATATTTTTTGAAGGAGATATGTTTCCCTTATGACATCTGTGAAAACTGGGTATACTAGTTTTTGACTGATTCATTAGATACAAAGTTTTCTGACACTGTCCTAGTTTAAATTATTAGATTATTATTACTAATTATTTTATCTGCCTACTTTAAATACCTTTGGGTTGCTTTATGATAACTTTGTTTACTTCACTTACCATGCTTTGCTTTCAACAGCATAACCACGAAACTTGAAAGAGCTTTGGAAAAAGTGGCTCCTCTTCTTCGGGAAATCTTTGTGGATTTTGCCCCATTCCTATCCCGCACTTTGTTGGGCAGTCATGGGCAAGAGCTCCTAATAGAAGGTAATAAATATTCAGTATTTTGTTATTTCTTTACATTTTGAATTATTTTTTATTACAGTCAAAAGCTAACCATATTAAGTGTTTACAAACAGATTAAACATATACATGTAATTCCATACAATTAATGTACTCTTATACAAAAAAATAAAGTATATTGATATACCACACACAGTCAACAGTAACAATTGATCTGTACAATAAACAATAACAGTTTGTATAGATCTTGTGTTCTCTCTGACACTGCAAGCTGTTTAATGGAATTTTGCCCAATTGTGACTGAGATGCTCATCCTTAACTTGGTAAAATAAAAAAAATAAAATAGTTCTGAAATTTCAATAGCATTTGAGTAATATATTTCAATTGAGTTTCTTTTCAAATTTGCAATATAATGGTATATAGGTAACATTCTCAATTGTTCTTGATCCATAGAGAAAGAGATACTCATATATGAAATATAGAATATATTTTATATGCCTTAGTGAACTGCAAATAGTAACATAGCAAATCTTAATTTTGTATATACCCTTCTTCATTTAGATCAGGGCTGTCAAACTCCCGGCCCGTGGGCCATGCCCACACCCGGTTTATGGAAGGGGAAAAAAGTCCCAATATGTCACGTGACGGCACCATGACAATGTAGTTTGGCACCCCTGATTTAGATAATCTCTAAAAAAGAAGATATGGACTAAGTTTTCCAAGGGCAAGTCACTCGGTCTCTGATTTGACCAAACAGAAAAGCAATAATTTGTTTTTATTTTAAAATGATACACATTTCATTTGTGATACATGCTACTTGAGCTATTGACTATTGTACAATGTCCTAGGCATTTGATGTATTCAAGTTATTAACCGTTGATGTCTCACTTATGGAACTTCAGTCTGTGGGCAAATATTATTTTACTTTTTTGTAATGAATCTGTAAATGTTCTTCACTACAGTCATGAGCTAGCATCCTCAAAGTTCACTAAAGCCAACAACGTTTGTAGATAGAAGGACTATATCATTGGCATAAATAACAGTGGAATGTTTAAATCAGCTTGCTGGTTATGATACACACTTTATCTACTTTTTAGTTAAGGTGTTGCTGTAAAGATTGAAAAGGAAGGGCATAAAATGCTATAGTTTTCTTTTTCACGAATAGTTGGAAATGCCCCATATAGATTACACCTATATATTGTTATATAATCTGCTGATAAGCAAAAATGTCCATATGTCAATGTCAGTGTACAGGAGGCTAACCCAGTGTTTGTCTATAACCGTGATGGCAAACCTAGGGCAAGCGTGCCCAAAGTGGCATGTGAAGCCATGTTGCCCGGCATATGCAGCCTTGCCTGTTTGTCTTGGGGTTTCTGGCACACATGTGTGTGTGACAATCAGCTGTCCTTAGCGTGTGCGGCAGTGCCAAAAAGTAGCCTGCTCATATGTGCCAGCCAGCTCATTGTTGGGCACGCATGAGTGCTAGAACCCGGAAGTTTGACTTTTCCGGAGTGTGACCCCGATGAGCATGCACGTCATTTCCACACAATGGTTCACCACCACTGGTCTATACAGATGGAGTCAAAAGCATTTCCAACATTCAGAAGCATGGCATATATGATTTTGACTCCAAATAATACTTATGAATTAGATGTTGGAACACAATTAATTATGTGATCATAAAATATGATTCATTATTGCAAAATCAATGCTATTAGAGGGACCACATCTTTGAGACATAAGAATCTTTTCAAGTCTATATGTAGTGTTAAGTTACCTGGTGGTAACTTAACATTTTCGTATACCTTCAGTCTTTTTAATGATTCCAGTTCCTTATCCATTGCTTTCTGCCAAGCAGCCTGATCCTTAGCAGGATACAGTTTTAGTTCACTATAATTACTTGTCTTGGGGTTTCTTGGGGTTTCACTTGGCATAGAATACTAGCCTGATATCTATCAAGTGGTCGTGTTACTCAGGTTGAACATCTTAGTAATACAGGGCTTACTGGTGGACTTTCCTGTGCCACCTGCTCCTGTTCTTCTATTTCTTCCTGTTCTTCCTCTTTAATGGCTATTTGTTGTTTACTGATCTCATCTTTAGGGACTATCTGGGTGTCAATAATAATATCATTGCTGGATTCCTGTTCCAGTTCATCCCACCCAATGTGCTCAAGAAATTTTGCACTAGCACTACAATAAACATGAGCTGTGCCTTTATCCCAAAATCTAAATGATCTATGGTTGGCCTCATAACCCACAAAAAATAATTTCTTAGCTCTATGTTGCTCTTTCAGTCTTACTTGTGAGGGAATATGCACCCAAGCTGGAGCTCCAAATGTGTGTAGGTAACTTAAATTTGGTTTTCTGCCATGCCAACGAGTGAATGGCAATTCTCCAGTTGTTGTGTTAACTACATTGTTTAACACATGGTTGCTACATATTATGGCCTCACCCCACAGTGTTTCAGGTAAACCTGAATCAGATAATAAATATAGTGCGAGCCATGGCTGGTAATGTTTGCCCTCTTCGTTCTACAAACGAGTTATGTTGTGGACTGTAAGGTGAAGAACATTTATGCTCAACACCAGCCAATTTCAGCATTGTTTGGAATATTTTGTTTACAAACTCAGTCCCATTATCAGTAACTAAAGTAATTACTTTAGTTTTCATTTTTCTCTCAGCAAACCTTAGCCAGTTAAAGAAATGTTGGAATGTTTCTGTTTTGTTTTTCATAAGATAGCAGAAACCATATCGTGAGTAATGGTCCATAATATTCAAAATATAACAGGCACCTCCTAAACTTGGTTTCTTAGGACCAATTATGTCAGCAAAAACAACCTCTAAAAAGGTTCTTTGGTCTTAAACCCATTTAGTCTGTTTGCTGGAGTAACCTTACTCTTTTCTTGACTACAAGCATTACAATGTAAATACTTGCTACAGGTTTCAATTTTACTCCCTCTGCCAATTCAACAGTTTGTTTGAGCATTTTGAAATTAATGTGCCCTAGACGTCTATGTAATAAATGTGGCTTAACATTGTTATAAACAGAGTTAGCCATCTTCAACTGATCATCATGTATCACATATAAATCATTCTTTAAAGTAGCAGTAACCCTTTTACCCTCTTTCTCTATTATACAGTTATCTCCCCTAAAGGTTACTACATAACCAAGATTAACTAAAGCCCTTACTGATAATAAATTAAATTTTAGTTTAGGTATATATAACATAGTTAAATGTTCGTTTATGCAAGAACAATATGCAATACCTTCACCAGATATTTTCATTTTCATTCAATGAGGAAAGAATGATGTAAACTTGATGCAGCTCTGAAAATATCAGTTCCTTTTCATGTAGCTCTTGAAAAGTTCTTTTCATGAAGTTTAAATGAGCTAACATATCTCCACCTTTCAGAAGATGTGCTCTAAACAGTTTACGTGTAAGATGTATATGTGCACCTACACTGTCACGAACATAAATCCTCTTCAAATTCTCTCAACACCTAGCAGCAGACTCTTCTCCATGAATATGGACTAGCTGCTGGTCACTCAGTGTTAGTCCAATTATACAAAGAGCTCATTTGTTGTTCTGTTTAAAGTCAGCAATCTTCTTGGCATCGTCCTCATTTTCTGGATCCCAAGCATTTACATCCGGTGGGTCTTGAACTACATTCCATAAACCTTCTTTACGCAGAAGTAGACTGCATTTTATAGACCAGGAAACATAGTTTGTTCCATCCAACCGGGTTATCAGTGATAGACTTGTTGAAGTGACTTGTGCCATCTTTACCAGGATAGTAACCCACAATTAAACAGTAAATAGCTGTCTGTATACAGTACTGTGTATTCACACTAACTCTCAGTCATCTGAGCCTGGTATGGCCTGGGCCCATAACCAGTGTTGAGGTAATTCCCCGTTAGGAGAATGAGCGCATACAGGGAGACGTATAGAGAGTAGTGTTGGAATAATACACACAGAGCACACAGATACACTGTACAGTAAATGTAGGTTTTTACTTCCAGAAAGGTTTAAGCAAAGTCCAAAATAAGCAATCCAAAGTCATTCACAAGTAAATCAGTCAGTTTTCAATCCAGGGATAATACAAATATCAAAGTCCAGGGTCAAAAACAGTTCAGTAACAGACTTAAATTAAATCCAGTAATATCAGTCAATTAGAAGAAATGGAGCAACGGCAATGCTTTCCAACAGAAGGAAACAGAGATACACTTACACTCTCTTCTGAGACTCAGACTAAACAACCCAGGTTTCTGGCTCCATCTTATGGCCATTTGAGAAACCACACCTAATTACAGTTTTGCATTTTCTTAAAGACATAGTACTAAAATGTTTATCCTGGTCTATATATTTCCAACCCAAATAGCTGTTAGGTGACTCATATTCCTAACATGTAGCGTATTTGATGACTAATGAAAAGGCTATTCTTAAACATAAACTGTTAAGATATATAGGGAATTGAAAATATGTCCTTTGTTTAAAACGATAACATAAATAAATATATCTAATTTTTCAATTTCATAATATATATTTTATATATATAGTATTTATATTAGAGTAATAGTTGATCTTGCTAAATGAATGGAAAATAATACATTTATGTAAGAATCACTGATACTACTTATTACTACTTACCCATATTAGTGCCTTAAACAGGATTAATACGACTCATTTATTTATTAATGATACAAAGTACTGCCTGCCTCCCCTCTCTTATCCACCTCTCTCTCTCTCTCTCTCTCTCTCTCTCTCTCTCTCTCTCTTCTGCTTATAAACTTCATGTACAGAGGCCCAATTATTTTAAATAGCTTGGTAAATATATTACAAATACCATGCATATATCATTATATTATCTACATACAAATATGAATCTTCTGATTTTAGTTTCTAAACCATTTAAGAACACTAGTTTATATTGCTCACTCATCAGAATTGTTTCTGCTCTTAATCTTTATGTAAGTAAATAAAGATGAAGACCTTGTGATATTGTCCTCTGTCTCTCCTGGTAATA